CCTTTGCCCTTTCACTTCCTTGCATCAAGGAATAGAGAATTAGGAGATACCATGAGGGGATATCAAGACACCATGTCCCTAGCAAAAATGACTTTATTCTTTATCCTCCCTTTTCCACAAAAAAACAGTAATCCTAGTCTACATTTGTGCAGCTGATTACCCCAGAATTTTGCATGTATGTGTGTAACATACCTTATTTTATTGTGTGTCATTTTTCCAAATTGTCAAGATAATTTTAAATTTTAATCTTCTTCAGCATGCCTGCAGAGCCCCACACAAACCAGAGCATGTTAATGAAGGCATGAAGTAATACCAAGTGTAGGCAGACCTCTTCAGAGCCTTACTGGACACAACCTCGCGTTTTTCTAACAAGCCACCGTCAGCCACTCTGTGGTTATCCAAACAAAGGTGGAACTGTCATTTAGCAGCTTTTTTTCTAGACCTGTTCCACTAGCTTGTTTAAAAAAAAAAAGTATTGAGTATCTGCTACTTAAGTGAATAATTTACTACTGTTACTATTTATGAGCTTTATGAGATATGATCACAAATAAGCACCTATTTGCAGAGATTTTAATTCTGAATCCGATGCTGAGGCTCACCCTTGCCCAGTCGAGCTTACCAAATGATGTGTCTCTGATAACGGCAACTCAGATTGTCCAGTACTCTGAGCTCTTAATTTCATTATGACAATTGAGTTCTACCAGTTTAAAACCCAGTACCTATTTAGTGTCTATGTATTTAATCTACATAATGCCAACATCAGAACGAGACCAACCTTAGCATTAGAATGAAGAATTAAATTAAATGATCTTACAGCTAAGACACAAGACAGATTTACAAGACAGTAATTAAACTCCTGCCTTTTAGGCAAGTTACAAAAGTATCATCTACATTAGACCAAAAATGAATAAACAGAATGATGCAAAGACCAGATCCTAGACTAGATTACTGCAGTGGCCTGATGTAATACAGCAGCCGCCAATTCCACTTGCATGAGAGACACTGAAATATTACCGAACAGGAAGCCACTCAAATAATGCCAGGCTGAAGCTGTCCTGGCATACTTTCAGGTTGTTCACAAAGAACCTTCACATAATGGCTAAAAGTCTTCTTCAAACATTACAGTAGGTGAAACTAAAGAGCTTCTCTCTGCAAAGGGAGAGAAGAACATTCTGCAAATCAAAGTTTCTAGGCTAAAGGGGTGGTTGTCACCCATTGACAGATTCGTAACAGCCACATAAAAAGGTCCTTCAAGTTTTTTGCTGCAGGAATTTTTAAACAGAGACCGGAAAGGTGGAATTGTTCATTCTCACATGTATTTTAGAGAGTGTGAAATCACATAAAAACCAGTGGAATCTTCTACCACAAGGTAGTAATTTATTGGTAATTAAAATAGTTACAAGATCTCTTGGGGGAAAAACATTTATAATGGAAATTGTAGCAGGGGCAGTTAAAATTATTATCTGAAAATGTCTTACATTTATAATAGCTAAATGAAGACAAAAAATATTTATAGGTGAGGAATACCTCTTAGTAAGGCAAATCCCAAAGATGACCATGCAGTTAAGCTTGATTTAAGGGGCTCGAGTTTTCAAATACTGTTTAAACCTACATTTACAATGCTTTGAGATTCCTTCTAAAACTCAACATGTATTTTAAAGTAGGTATTTATAACACATGTTTTGAGAAAGAAAATTTTCTGGAGAAAAAAAATCAAAAAAACTCTAAACAGAACACAACATGTAAGTTAAATGAGGATATGCTTTGGACTGTATTTAAGCAAGTATGAGGGAGAAAAACAATTTATCTGCACTCTTCTCCTCATTGTAATATCAAGGATTGAAACAATCAGCCATACATTTAACACTGAAAAATCGTTAGCTTCCCTCCTTTCAAACTATAGTTTATTAATGGGTTATTTAGAGACAAATTTCATAAAATTTTAATCCTTTGTAAATCACATACAGTACTTAGAGAAGTTATATGAGTCTCAGCAACGCTTATGAAACTGATCCAATACATAAAGGAAGAATGTAGAAAACCATAAAAGCAAAGTTTAGAAATGGTTGAAAAATTTACAAGGAAAGAAATTTGTCAGAATCACGAATCAGTGTTGATTCATTCATGAAATATTTTACAGCTTCTTGGTTTGGGCTTCTCTGGAATAGTTCATAGGATCCAATTGAATTAATCCCTTTTTCCTGGCAGGCTTCTGGAGATGCTGGAGCTGGAAACCTGCTTTCAAACACAGCTAGTGTAACTAGGACACAGTTCCCAGCTCTCTAGCAGGAGGCCTGAAAACCCCAGGATCCTGGGGACGGACACCTGCAAAGGGACACAGAGAGAGCACCAATGCACAGAGCAACTGGAAAAGTTCCCAAGGAGCAGACCTCGTTTCAGAAACTCCATGGGTCACTGTTTGAAAAATAAACAACATAAAGAACAAATGAGGGAAGTGTGGAAAAAATAAAGAAGAACTAGGACAGCTGATGGCAATTCTGGCTTAAAGAACAAACTCAATTTTTTTCCAATCATTCTCATTTGGTATTGGAATAGAAACATGGGGCCAGACTGCATAGTCCCTCCTTTATGCAATACAGTTACTGAAGCCAATAATTTTTTGCCAACTAGATACAACTGAACTTGCTTCTTTCACATGTTTTGTCCTGTGTTTTCTTTTAAAAGGACATTCCCCATAAAGAGAGAAAATTTTAGCCGAATCCTTCCTGCTTGTTAGTCATAAATAATAAGTACAGTTATGTGTTAGACATTAACTTTATTCTGAAATCTGTGTCACATAAGATGTGCATACATCAGTGTTTATGGACAAAAGCAAACCATTTTCATTGTAAAAGAGTACCTTTTTTTTTTTCAATAGCTATTTACATTGTTTTGTTGTTGCTGTTGTGGGGTGGTGTCTAAATACAAAATCTTAAATATCTGATTGATGAAAATACCCCAAAGTAGTACCATAACTCAATACTATACATTCATAGCAATATAAGGTCTTATACACCTACGCATTATGCAGAAGACATGAGATGATTTTTAAATTCTTGTATAGCACCAGTTATTGTCATAGAATAAACATAATGTTTTCTAAATGTAGTACTTGATTTAAATCCTGATAAAAGTGTAAGAAATATATAAGCTAATTATCATGAGTGCAAAATAAGTAAATCCAAAAAAGCAATTTCAAAAATCTGACTGGCAACTATATAAAATTAATTTATTAAGATCATGTGATTAGCAAGTTTTGTGGAGTTCTTTACATTAGTAAAGCTTACGCTACTTTAAATTTTACTCTCAAAGGCAACGCGTGGCTTTAAGTGAATGGTAATTTTTAATTGTGAAAAAACAAATTACTAATAAAAACAATTCTTTAAAATAAATGCATATAGATCAAATACGTGAAATGTATGTCTGAAGGTAAGGTTATCATTAACATTCTTAAATCACTGTATTATATAAAGATAGGAGGTAAAGATTAAATATTTTGACATTTGGCAATTTTTAGAGAAATAGCAACACATTTTACTTCCTTAAGGGTAAGTCAGAATACTACAATTAATGACATGCTAAAACTACATATGGTAAATAACAAAATAAATCATCTTAAAAGTAGAATAAATGCAAGAAAACCCCACTGAGGACCTAGTTCTAGCGTGTTTAATCCAATAAGAGCACAAAAGTTAGTCTGGTATTAATATATTAGTATGACAAAGTAACTGAGGTATTTAATGGAAATTACAGACGTACCTTGTGTTTGACTGAGAAAGATGAGAAGCAGGTGGCCTGTGATGTGTATATTGCCATTATTGACAAAAGAAAAGGAGAAGCTCTTTCTTCTTAAATATTAAAAAGCTACAATTTAACATGTGCACATGCATTTCTGTCAAATATAATAGCACAATTTGCAACATACTACAGATGTGCACATTCCCATTTCTTACATCATTACGCTTCTCCATCACTAAAACATGCCAAGACAGTTAGTTCACATCATCTC